ACTCACGCGTACTAGCCTCAAGGTTAAACCGGCCAGCTTATTGCGTCAAGGTCTTAATCTAGAGTAGATAGATCATGGTCATAACAATTTCGTATTGCGGTGTCTGAACGGCTGTAGCTATTAGAGCAACTCTTGGGAGGATTAATTCTAGGCTTTTCATCGAAACCGCTAGGGTAATGCTGACACTATAGAGGCACACGTGGACTGGCATTTTGGGGTGACTGAGTGCTCGGGATTGTGATGAATGGTTGCTGCTGCTTGATGTTCAGTCTTGTCCTTAGTACTAGTAGCAGTATGTGACGCGTCTCCGTTTTTAGGAGGGGTAGGGTATGGTGTTTTAAGGTTTATGTAATGTCAAACGTTGTAACTGCCGCTACTACGTAGGCTGGGTTGACTGGTTTGCAATTCATTGAAGATTCGACGCAAGATAGTAGTTCTGTCTTCGATGATTTTTCATCTTTTTAAATGTTGGAATACTCCTCAGCAATGACTAATTATTAGGGAGGTGATTACCTTCTGTTATACAACCAAACTGAAATAGAATTGGACAAGGGGCTTTAGTCTACGCTTAACACAATCTTCTTGTTACACGCTAAGATTGTGACAATCCACATTCTTGTAGTAGAGTATTTTTAGCAGTCTTTACTTTCGCACTATCTGGTATAGTATATACGATAGCATTCTGCACACATTGTAGTCTTTTCAACACTTCAGATGATATATGCTCAGTTACTTTTTTCAGTGTTTTTTATAATCTTGAGATCAGGATTTTCTGGAACACTGATTAAATATTTGTACGGTAATATATCTTGAATAGTTTAGGCGAGGCTAAGTTGTATTTTACTGCTTTTAGAACTATCACTGGTGAGATTATTGGAATTTATATCGACATTGTTAGGGTCTATATGGTTGCATACCAACATGTTGTGTCTACCGGGTGGTCACCTTGTGCATACTTAGTTGAGGAATGGAGCATATGTCTGGGCGAGTAGTCGATATCTACATTTACTACTCTTATTTATACCTAAAAACGAGATGCAAGGTAGTGATATCTCATGTCCAAGTAGCATAGTGCACGTCTAGTGTAGCTGTAGGAAGATCAGAGTAGGATATAGACTGATCAGTGTGTTCAAGTTATCATTTAGAGACATGTTTAAGAATACAGGTTCTTGACTAGGTCAACTCTAACAACCTAATCGTGACAGTATATTTATTAGGTAAGATATTATAAAACTTTTAAATATCTATCAACAACCATGTTAATAACGACCTCAAAAGATTCGCCATACACCCTGTTCACTGTCTTCAGCACTCTCCGCAATATAGCAAAGTCTTTTTTAAAAGCCCGTGGTAGAATAATGGAGGGCAGTAAAGAATAATAAGTAATGTGAAATAATTGAAAAATATTAAGAGTAAATGTCGATTAATCCCATAAGCATGCAACCTCTTTATGTAGTAAGTCAGATGAACAACATTCTCTAACAACAGTAAAACATGAGGAGACCAAGCGAGATCGTGCAGAAAAAAGAGACGTTGAACACTTTTCACCAAACACGGTGTATTGTTCTCTACCAAAGAGAAAGGAACAACACCTGGTTCGTTATCCAGTTGTCAGTGTTGACGCTGATTAACTTGTCAAGTAAAAGTTGTATTGGGATAGAATCAAAAGCTGAAGTATAGTTACGAAAGGTGCATCAAACATACGTTTTACTTTCTTCCAAGCTGAATAGCACATTCTGATGCAGAACAGCAACAGTATCTAGTGTTCTCCTTTTGCATTTGCAAGCAAAGTTATACAGATCAGTGTGCTCATTTAGTGCAGTTTATAGTCATAGTATCAATAATTTTTCCAATGTTTTAAGAAAAAGTAAATTTATTGCTACGGGTCTAAATTACACATTCATATCGCCAGGAACTTTCTGAGGTATAGGGATTATCTTCATCCTTCTCCACATTTTCGGTATGAGATTAGATGAGAAGGATCTGTCAAAGATACTCGAAAATGGAGGAGAAGATATGTAGATCGTGTGGATTATTTTGGTGGAGTTTTGTTCTCTGAGCTGGAGCTTTTATCGTTCTACGGACACACATTCGATTGGAAAAATGTAGAAATCTTAGACAGAGTAAACTCCAAAAACACCAGAGAATTTTTAAAATCCTGACACTCAGGTCAATCAGCAATCAACAAACATATTGAAATCAATCCAATTTATCAACCAATCAGGAAAATCATGCATCAATATAGGGACAAAAATCAAACCAATGGGAGACACAACCAAAACAAAGAAGTAAACAATGACAAATTTAAGTTCAATGAGAACCATTCAACGTTGAGGTGCACAGAACAAGCTGTGAGACGCATATGCAGAAATTCGAACACTTCACTTCTATCTGAAGTTTGTGCTGATGATGTTGTTCAGAAGAACGATGAAAGCTCCACGACTAAGTCATGCAGTTCAGAGAACAAAACTCCACTACAATACTCGAAAATGGATAACATAAAACTTCAGCACATTTTTAGAAAATGAGGTTTGGGATACTACCGGGTCATTAACATCGGGATGAATTAAGTGACTGGAAACATCTTCGGAAATCAGTTTCAGTGAAAATAGTAACACAACTATTCTTCAGACCTGTGGATAAAGGTTTCATGACATCAGATCACCGATGTACATAAGACTTATTTAAGTCACAATCATTCAGCTGGTTATCGCTTCTAATGGGCCTCTCACCTCTAAGTTTTTAAACAGTTTCCACGTACTTGAAAACGTTTTACGAGATAGGAGTTTCAGAGAAAGCATTGACTTCAGACGTCTCATCTCTTGGTTTGTTAGACCATTTAGCTTACGAACTTCATTAGCGTTCTTCTCCTCGTACATTCTTTCTTTCACCCTCTGTAGTCGTTTTAGTTGTGAAGATGTAAGTCGATCAAAACTTACAAAAATGGTCTCAGTGGAACAACAAATATCAATACAGAATTTAAGAAAACAAGTGACAACACCAGCAGTGTTTTTCAGTGAGTCATCTGTAAATAATTCCCAGTTAGCCGTACCAAACACGTTTTTCAGATTTCAAATATTTTCTTCTGAGTAATTCCGATATTTGACTTTCTTGGTTTGATGTAAGAGTGTACTCTTTCCATACTTTCCATATACTTTAGGTAGAACACGAATTATACAGTGATCCGAACTACAAAATGGAGCACGTTTACGAGTCACATATGTACCCACATCATTGATGAAGACGAAGTTTAAATGAGTATCCAAACGAGTGAGACAATCTACTACATTTTGGTGACCTAACGATGAAAAAAACTTACAGTCACATGAATTGAAATCATCACATACATTTGAAAGTTAACCACTGAAGGCAGTATTAGCGAATTCAGTGACTTTATCAGAGAAAACAGACCTAGCGGCAGCTTGGTGACACGAAGAAAACACTAACAGACTCAGAGTTCTTTGGGTTGACTTCACATAACTAGTTTCGAAATAGATCAACTTTCAACTACATACTAAACTCAACGGAACTACGTTAATTTACCGATTTTAACAAGTTATTATTTTTGTAAAGAATAGTCAAACGGACCATAATGACATTTTCGGAAACCAATAACTTGTTATACATCAGAAAACATGGTTTTAGAAAGGGTTTTTCTTGTACAGCGAACCTCCTTGTAGCAAGGGAATTTTGGATAAAGGCGCTAGACAACGAAAACTCAGCGGATGTTGTCTACATAGATTTCAGTAAGGCTTTTGCCAAGGTCACAACTGATAGACTGTTATTAAAGTTGGAAAACCTAGGTATTGCCGGACCTCTTTTAAAATGGAATAAGGATTGCCTAGTAGGTCGTATACAGAAGGTAAGAATAAATTCCAAGTGCTCCATCTGGAGTACCTCAAGGTTCCATCCTAAGTCCTTTACTTTTGATATTGTATGTAAATGGTCTCCCGAGTATAGTACAATCTGCAATGTTGTTATACGCTGACGATGTGAAGATCTGGTGAGTAATAACTGGAGATACAGACGCATGTGATCTTAAGTCAGACCCAAATAATATGATTAACTGGTCTCAAGAATGGCTGATGCCTATCAACGCGGCAAAGTGTGTCTCCATGTACTTTGGGGATTCAAAGGTTAATAGATACAACAAAGGGGAAGTGCCGTTACCCGTGGTCCGGTCTCATAAGCATCTAGGGGTGACAGCGAGTAATGATCTTAAGACGGCGGCTCATTGTCTGAAGGTCGCAGCAAAGTGTTTTCGAACCCTCTGGGCTTTAAAACGGACATTCACAAAGTTAGATATTACCATGTTCAACACAGTATACACAACCTTAGTGAGAAATAAGCATGAGAACTGCCTTCAGACTTCAAGTCCCTTTTTAAAAGATGAATCAGATGTCCTAGAACAAGTACATGGAGCAGCTACCCGTGCAATTCTAGAACTCCGAGGTTTACCATACAAAGAGCAGCCTGAGAAGCTGGACCTCTTTACCACGTCCGATCGCAGACGAAGGAGAGATCTAATTTTGATGTACAGAATACTGTGAATTCATTTTCAACCAGCCTATTCTCTCTTTTTCTCCTTCTTTTCTCTCTTTCTTCTTTCAGTTCACATAGCAGGCGGGTAGAAAAGCCAAGAACGAACACAATACCCGTGGCATACAGGTTTTCACATCGAGTCATCAACACTTGGAACCAGCAGTCCGAAGCAGTGGTGACCACAACTTCAATTGACTCGTTCAAGAGAAGACTGAACACTCACAGAAGCATAATGGAAAGGAATAACATAGGCCGTAGGCATTTTGTCTTTACTACACAAATCTGAATATGATTTGCATCTGCGTCCTATATTTTGGAATTAGGTCATTTAAATGACAATCCTTCATCAGGCTTGTGACATCAAAATTTTAAATCCCATAAAAGAAAGAATGTGTTTTCTCCCTAAGTATTTCCGTCAGTATTAGAATGTTTGTTACTAGTGTTTAAATTTACTGTCATGTTCCGACCCGCTCCCTTCAGATTCGTAGCTCGTGCTAGTCATGTCGCTGGTGAAGAGTGTGGTTCGGCGAAAGCGGGTGTCGGCCAAGCGTCAGTATCACCATCTAAAGTTTATAGCCAAAGTCAATAAACAGCGTAAGAAGGAGGGAAAAGATCCGTTGCCTGGATTAAGGACTCCTAAACCTGAAAAAGTAGCAGAGAAACCCGCAGCACGATTTGTAAGATAATTTATTTTGACGTCTCTTCTTTTCAAGCCGTGTAGTTATGTAAGACAACAGGAGAAGCGGAAGCTGCGTCTGCGAAAAACGAAGTGCTTCTCTCAGCACGTTCGAAAGATTCGTTCCAGTATACAGCCAGGAACTATACTCATCCTGCTTGCCGGACCCCATAAAGGCAAGCGTGTTGTCTTCCTAAAAGCTTTAAAGAGTGGGTTGCTGCTTGTCACAGGTGGGTTAAGGCATGTTTGTAATTATCGACTAGGACCTTTTAAGTATAATGGTGTTCCACTTCGGAGAGTAGATCAGTGTTACGTAATTGCAACATCAACGCGGATTAATATTTCTGAGTTTGAGATACCCAAGCACATCGATGATGAATACTTCCGGCGTGTCGATCTTAAAGAGCACAAAACAGAAGCCGAGAAACTGTTCAGTACTGAGACAAAGGTGAGTTATTTCCGAATTCTCTATGCTGACACATTCTGTCCTTCTACCCTATGAAAGAACTTGAGAGTTAATAATAAGATTCTGGATGTACAGCTTATTAAAAATTTTCCTCTCTTTCAGAAATACACTGTCAGTGACACTCGAAAGGAGGACCAAAAAATTGTGGACAAGCAAATTCGTGCATCGATAAAAAGTCACCCTGATTCGAAGATTTTGCACGCTTACTTACGTTCACTTTTTTCATTAGGCAAAAGGGATTATCCACACAAAATGATTTTCTAATGTAATTTGGCAATAAATGCTAGTCAGGAAGATTTCTTTTGTCTACCGATATATGTGCGATCCTTAGTATCTTGTGCCTTGCGCTCCTATAAGATAATTAATTTCGAGGAAGTTGCCGTCGTCTTCCGGTTTGTCGGCTACTGCTATTTTCGGACTTACGAACAGAATATGTTACTGCGATTTAAATCTCATGCGCTACTCGTTTACTGTCTCTAACAATCAGTTTCGACTAAATTCAGCATATATGTTTATAAACTACTTCATGGCAGTTTCGGCACTACGGGAAGCGACACGTATCATTACCGCAGAATCGATGGTTTCATTTGTGCCGATACTTGTTCGTCGTGACATTTTTCCGAGTTTACCTGATCTGAAATAAGACATTACGCCTTTTCTGGTATCCGGTACGTTCTCTATATTTGAAGGTCCATGACTTAGGCGGTTTGGCAGTCCTTTTATCCCCTGATAACTAATGAAGTGTCCCATTTAGTTGAACCGAAGTTGGTGTTGTGGGCTTGTTGCATGAAATGCTGAACTCACGGTCACATATCATGGTGACCTCGTCGAGTCAGCAAGGAGACTCAACAAGTCCGAATTGCTGGGATGAGGTCTGTATTAGCTGTACTTTAAAAGTTTAGGTGTAAGCCCTGTATATTCCGTATGATATTCGTGCTATTGATCATAACGTGATCGAGTCTAATTTCCTTTTGCAGCTCGGTGCAGTAGTTAACGGCTCAATAAGGTCGCTGGTGGAAGTTTTCTCTGTAGTAGTACCCTGCCATTAACGTCTTACTATTGAACTTTAATGACTGCATACTACCGTTATGTTGTTTCCTGAATAAACCGTCTTAAGGCGTTACAAGATTCATTTTTCTGTGACTCGGTCACGTGGGGACTAGTTCCGAATTTCTTTACTTATTTGTGTTTGTAATTACATTCTGTGAGGTGAAGAGAATATGGATTATGTTGTATTATCAGCCAATATCAGTATTGTGATTAGTTCAAAATTCTTACGTCTAATTCACTGAATAGCCTTAAGGTTCCAAATAGCAACCTTGTCTCAATCCAGTGGTTTGTCCGCGTAAACAGGATATCTTGTAAAACTGTAGGTAGTCGTCATATAAATATCCAGAGCAAAAGCACGTTCGTTGTCAAAAAGGCTTTTGCAGAAATTGGATATTTGTACTGTCAGTCGTTTTGTAAATATTTACTAAATGGGAAGTTTCGGTACGGGGTTTATGAAGTTAAAACTGAAATTTGGTCAGAGATTGATGGTTTTATCACATCCGCGTGAATTCGTTTTCTAGTTTGTTAATCTGTTTAGTTTATCGGTAAGGATATCTGAAAAATTGCATGACATGAACAGAATATCTAGGAAGAGTTTAGAGGTTCGATTTACCCAAGTTTGACATATTGTAGTAGTTCAACATTAAGTGAAGCAGTTGAATGTCTAAAAAGTTACAGCGAAATTTATTACTAAAAAAATAAACTAAATAGCATAACTTGGGTTCGAGTACTTACTTCTTTTCAACATAACTTGAATGTGCTAATTTCATCCTTTTCTTAGATCTTTATCACCTTATTTGATGTTTTGGTGTGACTTAAAGTTCAAATATATATTGACAGTTTGCAAATGATAGGTTTATTATGTGGTTCTCATAGTTTACTAATATGTTCTGTAATTTTTTATTCAAATATATTCGATTGTCCCCAATTGTATTCCCGCTCACTACATTATATAAATCATTTTGTACTCTCTGAGCTAGATCATTTTTTTCAGTTTGTCAAAAGTTTTCTACAGACGGTTTACAGTGAAAGTAATTAAAAGAAAAACCTGTTTGTGGAAATCAATTCTACCGGACTGTCAGCACTTAGAGAATTTCGGGAAAGCAGGGTGCTCAAGGCAACTGTTCCTTCCTAACTTAGTTGCAGAAGTCGTAGATCTTTAGTAATCGCACAATTTTTATGACCGTAACAGCGATTCGATGTTAATGGCTTCTTAACTGGAATATTAGAAGTCATGTATTATAATAGTATTTACATTACTAGATGTAAGAATTAGTTTTAATCAATTAATGAGCGTCCCACTACGAAGTGTAGTAATTTAGTATGCTAACTAGTAAAATGTTGATGTATATTTTTTCTTGTTTCCAGTCACTTGTCGTCTTACCAGCTCTTATTTAAATTTGTCATAATTCCTATGCTCGTTTTTGTTGGTAACCTTAGTCAAAATCAATTATTCGTATAAATTCTGGGCATCAACTATTTATATTTTACTACAATGATTTGATTTCCCGGAAAGATATTTCTCGTTTAAATCTAATCACTTTGTTTTGTTTCTGTTAGAACGATTGGTTCGTTTAACTTGATTCAGTTTGATTATTTGAGCTATATGAATTGAAAAATTGTTATGTTTTACTTAGTATGAGAACGACACAACCTTTGAAATTAAATCGTGATTGTGTGGTTATATACTTGGAGAAATGCGGAAGAGTAAAACTGGCGAGTTCAGTGCGAGAAAATATTTATATACATATAACTATCACCTGATATTCGATATGATGTACTTGTGTCTATATAGATACAGATTTGATCGTCAGTCAAAAAAAGATCACAGGATTTCTTTTGAAATTATCCTGTCGCTAGATCATTACAGAACCCGAAATACGCGAAGGAAGAGCAAAATCCTCAATTCGAACGTCAAAACAGTTCTACTGTACGGAACTTAAAATTGGAGAACTATCACAACCATCAACGGAAGGTACAAGTATTTCTAAACAATTGTCTACGCAAGATACTCAATGTCTGTTGACTGGATACTATCAGCAACAGCCTACTGTGGGAGAGAACAAACCAGCTTCCAGTTGAAGAGGGAATTGGGAAACGACGCTGGGAGTGGATCGGACACACATTGAGGAAATCATCAAACTGCATCACGAAGCAAGCTCCGACTTGAAATCGTGTGGGAGATGGGAAAGAGGAAGACCAAAGAACAAACTGCTGCGAAAATCAGAAGCAGATATTAAAAGGATGAATAGCGTCTGGGAAGAACTGAAAAAGATCGCCAATGACAGAGTTGGATGGAAAGTGCTGGTGGGTGGCCTATGCTCTTTCACGAGGTGTAACAAGTGTTAGCAAGATCATTACGGAAAAAGAAAGCAGTTGATAGCTACTTTGTTTTCTAAGTACTGCTTTCAAAATAGGTTATTTCAACCTGTCATAGAATTAAACTTGTTCCTGATATTTTATGTATTGTATAGGTAAAATTCCGTAATATAGTTAAGTCATTGTCTTAGGCGGAGTTTTGTTCTCTAATCTGGATGGTTTGGTTGTGAAGCACTCATTGTTCTTCTGAATAACATCAGCACAAACTTCAGGTTGAAGTGTAGTGCTCGAATCTCTCCACATATGACTCAACTCGTTCTATCAACATCGATCTTGATTAGTTGTTGTTGACTTTAAGGCTGTCTTTGTCGACCATATTTTGATTATATCTCCCTTTGATCTGATTTTTAGTCCTATATTTGTCCATTATTTTTTCTGAGTGATTGGTAAATCAGATCGATTTCCATGTTTTTGTTGACTGCTAATTGACGTGAGTCCCATGCTTATAAAAATTCCCAGGGGCTTTTAGTATCCTCTCTATCCAAGATCTCAACATTTTCCCAGTCAAACGCGTGTCTATGGTCGCCCACATGCATTGGCATAAACGAAGATATGTCATGACGTTTAAACGCTAATTGATGCTCGTGCAGGCAAAGATGAAGGGAGCGTTCACTTTGTCCGACATAATGTTTTTCGCAGTCGGAACAGTGTATTTTGAAGACGATGTTCCATTTTTCTTTTGTTATTTCGTCCACTGGTTTGCATAGGATTGACTCAAGTGGTTCTGCTGGTATGTGCACTGCACCTGCTCTCCAATGCCCTGGTACGACTTAGGGTGAGAAATGCTCTTGCATGGCCACGTTTATACAGCCACTGTCAGGGAAGTCCTACTCATTTTCTCGCGACGGGGTGGTTGTTTACGAAATTGAGAGGACGAAAAGTGAATATCCAGCGTTTTAACCAGGTTGGTGAATATGAAGGAGTCACCTGGGAGAGTTGGAAAACCTTCATTTTAAACTCATAGTGCACATGGGCTCCAGGATCCAGAGGGAACAAATGGCGTATGAACCTATTGTTGATCACCGGCTACCAAGTGACTGAATCTCCTAACATTACTCCATTGCCTCGTGGATCCGACCTTTAGGTCAAAGGCTCCGGGTGTGGCCACCTAAGAAAACCACCTGCTTCGTTCTGGTCACCCGGACAGTATCACAGAGTTCACACAAATTAATGATAACGGCTACTGAACTCAGTGTTATTGTGTAACGATTATGTATTTGGTGTCCCTTTGTACCAACGTTTATGTGTTTAAATAAGTAATTAAACTGGACCTACTCCAAACGGCTCCAATTACCTCGCTGTAATTTCTGATATACCTTTTATACATGGTGGGATGATCCGTTTGCTGGTTTCTGTGCTTGGTTTCGTTTCCGTTGATGAATTAGGTTGACATTTTTTGATGAGATTGAATAGGCAGCCGTTCTTTTGAAGGATGACCATTGGATATTTTCACTCTTCCGCACTAACAGTGCTGGAATGTGTTCTTGGCCTCTTGAATGAAGCCTGTACGCAGTTGATTTTGTGAGTTCTTGGGTTGCTGCTACTGTAATTGAGAATTTGATCTATGTATACCGTCTCCCGATATAATTGAGTCTCCAGCTTCTCTGTATCGGTTCTGGTGATCAGTACATCCAAAGATGATAGTTTGTTGTGTGGTTCCTTTTCCATTGTGAATTTTATGTCACCGAAGACGTGGATCAGATTGTAGGGGTTTTTCAGCCCGTCCTTTTTGATGATTAAATTAATTATTGGGCAGTTTTAGACAGAAATATTTAGGTCTAAATTTTAATAAACTGAGGGTTCTTCAGTTACTGGTACAGATTGAAAATTTGTACGAAATATGTGTATTGGGAAATCCATTCTCG